GGCGAAGCCATGTGAATAGACCCCTAATGCAGACCTGGTCTACACCACGCGGAGTACAGTCAGACCTCGCTTATCCGGTCCTCTTTTATCCGGATCCCCCGCCATCCGGAAGAAAACAGCTGGTTACAGATTCACAGCATACGTGATGCATCCAACATAGCCGGTGTTTGGTTATCCGGTTCCCTCGCCCATCCGGATATTTTTGTGCCAATTGTGGGAAACGGATGTGTGCGGTTATGCGAGGTCTGACTGTACATCGAAATAGGACAGCCAAGACAGTCACCTATGGCTGCACACACACTCACACACACACACACACACACACACACACACACACACACACACATCACACCACACAGACACACACACACACATCACACCACACAGACACACACACACACACACACATCACACCACACAGACACACACGCACACACACACGCACACACGCACACACACACACACACACACACCCACACACACACGCACGCACACACACACACCCACACACACACCCACACACACACACACACGCAACAACAGAATGATCAGCTACAAGCACTTTTAATGAAAACAGCTTGAAGACAAGTAGACACTTGTATCAACATAGGCATTGTGATTTTGTTATTTTGTGTACATGTATGTCCTGGGTACCTTGTGTTGGTGGAAGCGCGTGTTTCTGTGGTGTGAAAAGCAGCCTTTGTCTTCAGTTAGTCTAATTGTTTTCCGTAGCCGCCGTGTAATACATCGTCTTCCGAATGTAATTATTTCGTCCATTGCACGAGTGTGGAGATGGCATGTGGCTTGCAGCAGGCGAAGAAAGTCAAATGCAACATACAGTCAACTTGGCGTATAACGACACTCCGCCGGGCATCAGGAAGGTTTCCTTATTTCCGAAGTGTCGTCAGTCCCGAAGTCTCATTGTATGTATACAGGTAGAATGAACCTTGCTCTGGGCATGGAAATTTTGTCGGTATTCTCAAATTGTCGTTATATCCGCAGTCTTCATTAGCGATGTTGACTGTATGCAGCTGCATGTGCCCATAACGCCACTACCATGGATCACTGGTACTCACCGCAACGTGAGAAACTTTCGTCAGAAATTAAATATTGCTACTTCGCGATCATCGCTTGTCCGCTATTTGTAACCGCTCTGTGCAGTATGTACAATACATGATAGGTCCAACTAATACGATGATTGGCGAAAATATCTTATCGTGAACTCGTATGATTCTTGAGAAGGGACAAAATTGCACGGCCAGCGTTTCTCGCTTTGCAGTAACATCGGCGAGTCATTGTTGTCCTGTTCACTTGTGTACGTTTCCGCGTGTAGACCTTGATCTTTCGTGTGCTTCGCATCAGGATTATGCTTGGTGCATGCTCTGGGTCTGTGCTCGCTTAGGGTGGAGTGGTGTGCCAGCGAACGTGCTTCCATTCTAAGAGGCAACTTTTACTAGTTAGGTGAGACCAAAAAAATAGAGATTCCCGGGCCCTCCCGCACCAAAATCGAGCGAAAGCCAATTTTTTATATTTTTAAAGTTCATATACATGTACAGTACTGATCGTGTGACTAGATCTGTGACGTGGAGTCACACAAACCCGAGCTTGTACGGCTCCCTGGTGTACAGATGAGGGCCATCGTTGGCCGAAATATAGAACAATTGAACGGGTATTAAAACCGCGTACCTGTTGTCTGTAAAAAAATTGAATAAAAATTACCGGAAAATGCTGTAAAAAAAGTTCAACATGGCATGCACACATTATAGTCATGTACATACATGGGAAAAAAATAAATAATTAAATTCGCCCTCCCGCACCAATTTCAGATGGGTCCGGCCCGGGGATCTCGATTTATTTTGGTGTCGCCTCACTGTTTCAAATTTGGACTTCAAGGAGAATCTTTCGTATCTGGCTTGGAAGTGTTGAGTTTCGGAGAGAAAAGAGCAGTACGAGGCGTGTGGCCTCTAAATTCAAACTTTTACTGGATAACATCTACTGCTAAAGCTAGAAGAATACCAACACCACCATAGGTATGTCTGTTATATGTGCGTTGTGATCATTTCTGGCTGGATGCTCTTGGGCTGTGCTGTGTGTGTGTTGATTTTCAAACCTCCTTCCCGAAGAGAGAGAGATAGAGATAGAAAGAGAGAGTGTGTGAGAGAAAGAGAGAAACGCATACAGATGCACACACACACACCTCAGACCTCAGACATGCCCATCGCGGAAGCGATGATAGCGAACAGCTATGTTAGACATAGCAACTTGTGCTGGGATTACACCATTCAACACACACACACACACACACACACACACGCGCGCGCGTGCGTGCGCGCGCACGCACGCACGCGCACACGCACCCATACACACTCCACACACCATTTCACCTTTTGACACCCATCGCCGGAGACGATGATAGCGATGCCACAGCAGAAGCCATAGCAGCTTGTGCTGGGATTGCACCATTGAACAGCTTGCAAGGCTGAAGAATTGACCACGCACAGTCACACACACACACATACACACACACACACACACACACACACACGCATACACCCACACACTCACACACACACACACACACACAGACACACACACACACATACATACGCACACACACACACACACACACGCACACACACACACACACACACACACACACTCACACACACACACACACACACACACACACACACACATATATATACACACACACACACACACACACACACACACAGAAATGCACATTACTTACCTGGACTGATTGTGACTTCAACAGACTTCTTGGTCGGTGGAAAGCAACGGCTGACTTGCGTAGATGGACAAAATCGCCATCAGACACACCGATCAGAAAAAGAAGCAACAGGCTCGAAAAAATGGAGGACTCTACTGGCGACGAGCATGTATAGAATGATCGGATGGAACAGTCAATACACAAGAAAGTTACTGCCTACCTGCACCGGCTTGTCTCTTCTCTCCAAAGTAATTATTAGTTAGAACCAGCATTGATGATGTGTGTCGGCCTTCGACGACCACCTGTTCGAAGAGCTCAGGGAGCATCGCACGCGCAGGCACCTTGAAAACAAACGGAAGGTAACAATGAAACCTACATTGTAAAAAATGTGTCCAGACTTGGACGTATCCGGTATCGCACCACAAGAAAAGTAATGGTGAAGAAATCAGAAATCAGTTCTCAAACTTTCAAAGCCTCAAAAGACGTACATTTCTCAACGAACTCCAAGTCCAGCAGGATCCAGGTCGAAGAGGTGCAGGAAAAGGACTTGCAATGCTGATCTGCGCTCTAATACACACGTACAAACGTCTTCTGTCACTATGGAATATTTAACGCCGCTGACTTCAAGAGGGCACCGAGCACAGCGAACTCGATCTCACTATCAGTCTGGCAGAGGAGAAGGGAGCATCAAGCTGGCTGACCTGCCGACCCATCGCTCGCCATGGCTTCGCTTTGTCGAAGGGGGAATTCTGGGATGGCCTCTGCCTCCGTTACGGTTGGACCCCTTCTCGCCTGCCCGCCACCTGTGTTTGCGATAAGGCATTTACCACTGCTCGCGCCTTGTCCTGTCCCTTCGGTGGTTTCCCCTCGATCCGCCATAACGAGGTGCGCGACATACTGGCAAGCTCATTAAAGGGCGTCGCCCACAACGTCGCAGTGGAGCCACATCTCCAATCCCTGACCGGGGAGCAATTCCAGCTTCGGTCAGCATCAACCGAGGATCAATCTCGTTTGGATGTGGTGGCCAGTGGAGTTTGGGGGTGGGGGGGGAGGGGTGGTAGGTTCGAACGCACTTTTATTGATGTGCGGGTGTTTATCCCTTATGCGTCTTCGAACCGCACCTCCTCTCTCTTCGCCTGCTACCAGCACCACGAGCAAGCGAAACGGCATCGATACGATCTGAGAGTCCGAGAAGTGGAGCGGTCCACTTTTCTCCCCTTTGTGCTCTCTTCCACCGGAGGATTCGGCAAGGGTGCTGCTGCACTGGTGAGCCGGATTGCACACCTCCAATCGCTACGTGGGAGGGAGGCGTATTCTTTGCTAATTGCCCACCTCCGCTGCAGGCTGGCTTTCGCCCTGCTGCGTTCGAGTGTCATGTGTCTGCGTGGGGCTCGCCGAGTTTGGCAGCCTCCAATGGATAGCTGTGCCTCCCTGGCTGTCGTGGAGGCTAAGGTGTCTCGTTGAGCCTTGGCCCGTTATTGTGCGGACTATGCTATGCTTCTCTTACTCTCTGATCACGTGTGACGTCATCATTATCTGACTTGTTTATTTTTTACCAGGCGTGGCCCATCCCCTGATTTCATAGGGGACAAAAATTTTACGTTCTTCATTCACTATCAAGTATCATGCATTTGGTCTACAGTCGTAATAAAAGGACTCGTATTTAATTTCGCCGATTGGCATTGACCGGCAAAATCAGGGAAACTCAATCGCCAGCGAAAATTTGTTTATTTTCAGTATGCCGACATGGCAGGGAGAAGGAAATATTGTCTATGCCTCGAAGTCTCTGGCCTGTGTTCATTCAAGATAAAACGGTTCACACTTTCCAATGTTTCGATAAAGCCTGGAGATTTTTTTCGTTACACCCAGACACTGAGCATGTGTGACTTGAACCAACTATCACCTTGAATCACATCATCGGTTATGGAACAAAAAGGTTTTAGAGGCTGAATCAAGGTGGGTCACTCCCGCGGGCCCGCTATACGTGTGTTCTTATGGCAGTTGCGCGGGCAATGGGACGTATTCATCAATTTCCCGCCATTAGGTTTTGCGGGGCAAGTCCACTTCAACCGTACACGCCTTGATACCAACTCTGCATAAAAGGTCATGAACTTTATGAGGTCATACTCATAAATGTGCTATAATGAGTTGTACCTGCCAAGTATGGAGTGACTTGCCCCGCAATGCATGCCTCCCATTCTCCTTATAGAACCCCCATTGTACCCAGCTCAAGAGCATGAAGGATTGAAGCGCACACGAGCACAAAAATAGACGTGTTATACAGTACGGTTATCTTGGGTATTCAAGGATTTTTGAAAGAAAATGGGCAGATGCACATTAAAGACAGTCAAAGACTGCTTCAAGCACGGAATAACAGTTTAGGCGGTTGACAAGAAAAAAGGATGAGGGAAATGGTGGAGCAGATAGTATCCATGAAGTTAGCATTGAAGACTACTTGGTGCCTGCAAGGATAGATAAACACACGAGCAGACACACACACGAACAGACACACACACGAGCAGACACACACACACGAGCGAACACACGCACACAGAGAGTGTGGAGAATGTTTAGTGGTGGGCATGCAAATGTCCTGCTTCCTCCGCGTCATCGAAAGTGTCGCAGTTTGACTAGTGACTTGTCACTGACAACTCCATAAGCTAAACCATGCAAAACTTATTACACAGGATGATAGTCTGAAGGCTAGATTAACGCTCTAGGACAGTTGGACCGAGAGTTTTCACGCAGAGATGAAGGCCTCGTCGTCGCTGATGTCAATGGACACAAAAATATCGTTCCGAAATATTTCAAGGAAGGGTGTAAGTTGGTCGCGCCTCATCTTAAACGCTTTGAGTTTCTCCACAGGACAAGAGCTGCTATGCTTGTCGTCTGCTAGCTCTGGATGATTTCTACTTCACCACCAACAAAGTAAGAATACACGATCGTTGCGAGGTTGGTTGATTACCGTCGGCGGAATCACCTCGATCTTGAAATGAACTTTTTTTTAGCCGTGGCATGCCCATTTATTTGAGCTGTGTGGTCACAGCTCATGCAGGTAAGTGTACTATCACGACCAGTGCGCCCTCTTTTTCAGCATAACTGGTACGGCATCTGCGCGTGCATCACTAGCGCTACGTGTAGAGTCGACACGGCTCTTGCAGGTACAATCATGTACTGAGTGTCTCAGCCAGAGCGACAAATTGTATCGCTGTTGCATGCATTTAGTTTGCTGACCCCTCGATATTTCTCCAAGCGCTGCCATTTGTTCCACGGAGTCATTCTCACCCCAGCTAAGGTAAAACAGTGAAAAGGCTTTGAATGGCCATAAGCACAAGAACTGTGCAGGCTACAACGCCTGACTGATCTCAGCGAGTCGAAATTGCCATCGCAGCGACATCAGCGAAGAAATTGTGTCTACAGTCCATTTCAAAAACTATAGACGCGTACCTAGGCTAAATCCGTTATGCCAGCATCTATACCACATAAAATCTGTGATCACTTTGTGCATAAAATTTTCCAAATTGGGCGTCTGTTATCCAATCGTTTAGAGAGAGTAATTGTGGAGCGGACCCGAGCAATATTCCGAAAACTATTCTCAAAAAGTACCAGCTAAATTTGAAATATTTCAAAACCCCTACGCATCTATAGTTTTGAAATGGACTGTAGTTCAAAAAATTCAGCTTCCAATAACAGAAAGTAGAACTTTTCCGTCACCCTATACTGATGACTATCGCCAAGAGTACATAAACCAGAGTGTGCAACTCAGGATGGTTCCTGTGGGAGCGTAATTCGTGCTGTACGTCATTTCTGACGGCATGGTAAGCCACTGGTACGATGAAAAGTTGCGTAACCAGTCATGGTGGTGCAGGTCACTGAGTTCGTTCCGATTTCGGTTTTTTGATACAGATAGCCTGGTGAATTTACTTGCCGGTGGATGTACACAGTCACACAAAAACACCGAGATCCTGAAACAGGACGTCTGAAATCAAGCAAACTTGGCTGATTTCCGGGCCTTAGACCCACGAAAATTTGAGCTGTACGAAAGTCGCGGCTTGGCTGACCTCATCAGGGTGACGTAGTGCACGAACTGCGCTGTTTCAGATCTGATATGCACAGTTGCACACTCTGGTTTATGTACTCTTGCTATCGCCAGGAGTACATAACCCCCCAAGAGTGTGCAACTGCCTGCACAACCTCTATGCTGTGCTGCGACGGCAGAACTTCACATCACGTGACATGGTTCAAAGGGTTATGCTGGCAAACAGTGCAAAGTGACAACAAGAGAGTTGTACCCAAAGCTGGGCTGCGTACAACCCTGTATCTATCATGCACAGAGGGCAAATAATGTGACAGGTTTATCACGTGATGTGGAGTTCTGCCGTCGCAGACCCCATAGCTGGAGTTGCACACTCTTGGGGGTTATGTACTCTTGCTAACGCCTATGTCCGATTCCTTGCCTCTGGTACGAGTGCTGGTGAGTACGTACCCCGTTTTATATCAAAAGTCAAACTGCGACAATTTCGATGATGCGGAGGAAGTAAATGTTCGGTAACGCCTGGAGTATTAATTTGGACCAAAATGAGAACCCGACCAGATCACACTCCCAGAAAAGCAAATCTGCAATAGTGCCATAAAGTCGCACAAGAGCACCCCGCCTTGATTTTATCGCCAGCAAGAGTACATCATGGATAGACTGCATAACGTGAAATGTGCGTACAAGGTTTGTGTCGTATGACCTACCTAGAAGACACCACCTCCGCAATGCAACCACGAAAGGACGAGATGGTGGGGCGCTCTTGCGGTACTTTACTGTGTGTATAGGAGAGCCCATTAATTGCCACTGACAATAAAACGCTACCCCAAACCCCAGGTCTGGTATTCACAGAAAATAGCTCAAACTGAAAATGTCAGGTTTTTCTACTGAACAGGAGGCTGAAGCCCCACCCAACTACTGCCTGGATTAGTGATGCCAGGTAAGGCAACCCCCCCCCCCCCCACACACACACTTCAGTCTATTGGCCTGTGCATGGGATTTGCATTTGCGGCGGTAGAAAAATGAAAAACCCTGCACCCGCCTTTCCGGACCTGAGCTCAGACTATAACATTAGTCACCAGGTCAAGTTAATACAAAGTGTATGCGAGCACAGCATGTACGTGTACATGTATGCGAGCACAGACCTAGTCACCAGTGCTAGTCCCTGTTGACTTTCAGTGCCCCCAACCCCTGCAGGAAAGAAGATGGGAGAAAACACACACGCACACGCACACACACACACACACACACACACACACACACACACACACACCGGTACTAGTACTTACCGCGGGTGACCTTGACGTGAACGGTCTGCTGTGCGCTGCGATAGCAATCAACGACCTGCGTGATATCGGCTGGTGAGTTGCACTGCGGAGTGGACCCTAGCTGAGTGGGCCCTACGGAACACGTGTACGCGCCGGAATCGGCTGCCGTCACGTGCTGGAGGTGGATGTTAGTGAACGTGTTGCCCACCACTACATTCTGATCGCCGATCGGCCGGCCGCCGGGTCCAGTCCAAGACGGGCTGACGTTGTTCTTGTGACTGGGCATGTCCTCGACGTGGCACGACAGGAACACAAAACCGCCTGCAGTCACAGTCTGGTTGGCGGATACGTGAACCGTTGGCAGATCCGTGGGCCGATCTGACCGCAAGAGAACAGAAATCACAACAAAACAATGCCGGAAAAGCTTCCCCCGCTTTTATAACTGCCTCAACCTTATGGAAATTCATGATGCTAAATTATTACAGGTCTTCCAATAACCATGAAGTTGGTTGTTGCAACGTCGTGTGCTCCGGATGGCAGTCATGAGTCAGTCATGTGTGAAGAATCGCGTGTTCCTCGTTGGAACAACCAACTTCATGACTAATACCGCCAATAATTCAACTCATTTCACAATATTACAACGTTTCGGCAAACTGCCTTTATCGGGTTCATAATGATGTGCAAGCTCTCAAACCAGCATTGATAAAGGCCAACTTCCCTGTCAGTAAGAGTTGGGTGTGAGAAGAAGCAGCGTGATAAGAATTCAGCTACATGTACCGTAAAGTCCACTGCAAACGCCCACCCCATTTTTGCAAGATCTGCTGGCCTATGTGCACGGACCCCATGCTGTACGAAAGTGCATCTCACACCGTAGCGCGAGGAGTGCTTTGCTACGGTAAACTATGTCCATTTTCCGGGTTTCAAAATGTTTTTGGGCACCAGTTACAAGCTAGCTCCTAGTGATTTTATGATGTTGGTTGTTTTATTTCGCAAATCCAAACGGCAGTTAATTCGGAATAACAAGGTAGCGAAGAACAGGCTACTGCAGGAACCTTAGTACACTTCTGACGGTGTTTCAAGCCATCATTTCCCAATCACGCAACGCGCAAAGGCAAGGTTTTTTCGAGCACTTCAGAGTTTTCAACAAAATAGCAGCGACTTTGTAGGTGTAGCTTCTGTGACATCCCCCCTGTTCGACTTGCAACTGCAATACTGCGACGCTGAATGACGCTTCGTCAGAACAATCACCATTCCATTCTGAAAGCGCGACATCGTGGCACTGCAGAAATTTCATGATTTGAAAACCAGATGGATTCTACGGCATTACTTCATGGAGAACGAACTAATAACAAAGACGGCTCATTCATCGTATGAAAGGAAATCTCGACCAAAGTTTTTTTTTCTTTGCAACAAGATAATGACAATCACTTGTGCAGAGCCTCTTGGTAAAGTGGGATTCACAGAAGCTTTTTTTGCGATGCGACACGCGATCTGCGATGGATGCGTGCGATGCGATGCGAACTCGCGAAATACCATTCACAGAAGAAGTCAGCTTTGCGACAAAGTCTTGCTGATTTGGGTACGTCACCATGATATTCGCGCGGTTTGATACAACTTGTGCAAATTTATAGGCAACTCTTGAACCTTTGTACAACTTTGCTGTAGAAAAGGTCAAAAATCGTACGCCAAATCGCTTGTCGCATCGCATCGCAAAAGTTGAGCCAAGCTCAACTTCTGCGATGGCCCAGTTGCGTGGGGTGCGACATGGCTGCGATTTGGGGTTTCCCCGGTTTCGCGTCTGTCGCATCGCAAAAAAAGCTTCTGTGAATCCCGCTTAAGACATAGGCAGTTTGTAGGCATTTTAGTCGTTCTCGTATGCATTCGACCTTCATGCCAGTTTTCTACAACCATATTGACCTGGAAAAGACGAAAGTAGTATGAACCCGCTGGGGTGGGCGTTTGCACCGAACTTTACGGCAATACAATGGATTCCAGGTTTTATAACTTCCTGAAATTGTACCGAGAACGCATTATAGACGTAAGGGGCCGTCCAAGGTTACCAATAATATTTTCAAAACGAAATGTTTTCGTTTGGGGGTGGGTGGGTTTGATGGAGTTCGTTTTGAAAATAGACACCCTTAGGGCCTGGTCAGACTGCGGCAAAATCGAAATAATCCTAGGATTATAATCCGAATCTCCATAGTAACTTGCCGCCAGAGCGGCAAAAGCGAGAGTTGACGCTCCAAAAAAAAAGCAAGAACGGACCACGCTTTTCCGCTCCAAACAGGATTTGACGCTGATACGCCATTGACGCTGATAATCACTGATTTTTTCATCTCGATATCGAGGAGCTAATTGGCCACGGACAACAACAAAACTCATAAGGATGGTTGCAAGGATTGCACTGAAGGTGTTGGCGATCCCCAAGGTGAAGGAATTTGACGTCGTTCGTGGAGATTACCACTTGACGCTCGAAATGAAGTTTGAATTTTCACTCTCCCCACATCTGTAGTGTGATCGCGATTCAAATTCTGGACGCTGTTCCTTTTTCGTCAGGCAACCAAAATTTGCCGCAGTCTGACCAGGCCCTTAGCAAACAACGGTAATTTCACCTTGTGTAGCGTATATGGTGACAAAAATGGTTGAACCGCGCAAAATCAAAGCTACTCTCGTGGCAACAGCGTACTAAAAATAGCGTGCATCTTGCTAAAGGTCGAACCCAAATCACGGTATTTTCCCCCTTACGATAATACCGTTACAACATAACGTTTTTTGCTAAAGGTGTCTAATAATTATTGAATGTAGATGGAGAATGTCCAGTTACTTCTGGGTGTCGAAAATTGACATCAATATTTTATTGGAATTCGTTTTACCTGCAGAAAAGATGGGTGGGTGGGGGCTGAAAAATACTAAAACTTTTCGTTTTGTAAAAACAATCGATAACCCCGGACGGCCCCTAAAGCAATTCTCTCTCTCTCTCTCTCTGAGGAACTTGGGTGGACCACCCCTCGCCAATGGCACTGTACATTTCAAATGAGCTATTTGAAACCTGTACGGTAGGCGAGGAAATTAAAAGTAATCCTTTTTAATCTCCTGTAATGCCCAGTATAGTAAAACCAAGAGAACATAACCCCCAGAGTATGCAACGCCTGATCCAGCTCTGCATATGGTCTTGGTCTTGGTCGAGCGTAGTCAGATCTTTGCTTCATAATACCGTACACATCTGAGGGGAACCCGGCGAGTCGCGGGTACTCTCGGATCAAAAACCTGCCTCGAGACCGGGCTTGCGGTTGTGTGGAGTGTACGCATGACATAAGAAGATCCGATTCTGCTCGACCAAGACCGTATGCAGAACTGGATCGGCGTTGCACACTCTTGGGGGGGGGGGGGTATGTACTCTTGGTAAAACCTGTCAAGGCGACCACCTGTCCCAGAAGACCATTGCAACCAGGACCACGGGATGATATTACCAGTCAAATGACCCTGGATAAGGAGACCACCTGGCAATGGAGATCACGTTTTGAATGTCCCTTTAGTGGTCGTCTTGGACAGCTGTTTCACTCTATTCAAAACGTCAATAGATGATATGGGCCACAACCGGCTAAAACATGTCTTAGGGTGAAAATTTTCAAATTTTGTTTTCCTCCAGAAAACAGTTCTTGGGACCTTACTTGACCTCTTGAAGGTGATACAGGGCAGAAAAGTAGTCTACAAGTGCCCCAAACACTGCTTTCAAAATATGTACTTTGAAATAGAAAATGACAGTTTTCGCACAGTCTGACACAAAGAGACAAACTATTACTTAATGGCTTTTGTGGCGGAGCACAATACAACGGAACTAAAGATGTTGACACCGACTTGAGCATGTCAACGACATCAGTTCAAAGGCATGGCCCAAGTTCTTCCTGGAAAGCAACACGATGCGCTGGGCGACGTTGCACTTGCATACTCTCTCGATTCTGGCAGTGACACTTTCGATCGTCGCCTGCGTTTCCGAGACTGCGTCAGACGCCTCATGAGAGCTGAACGCAAGTAACGTCGTAAGGCAGCCGGTTCGCCGCCTAAATGATTATGTACTAGCCCACAACTTGTGCCTCTTCGCTACTGGAGACGACGGGGACGAATCAGCTTCGCTGTCGACATCAACATCAATGAGATCCCAACAAATTGTCAGCGTCGCTCTGCAGACCCGCCGCCACGGACTTGCAGACACCTGAACAAACCTGGGCCATGCACAGCGATCGTCTGGCCGTGCGAGCTACTCTAGTATCCCTAGATGCGGACATTGTCAGTCTTTGCTCGCCAGCTACTTGAAGTAGAACGCCAAACAAGTGTTTGAACAACAAATTGAGAAGATGATCGCCACATCATGAATCATTTGAATGAAGTGCAGAGAGAACGCGCTCCAAAAACACATTTTTTTTCATTTCGTCATTTCCCAACTTTTTTACGAAACCCCAAAGACATGTTTTAGCTGATCGCGGCCCATATGCCAAATAACGTGCAACTAGACTTGAGAGGGCATCGCACACAAGTTGCATACAAATTATACTACAATGTGTACATTGCAGGCCCTGAGCTCTGCAGGAATGCAAGTCACAGGTAACCGTACAACTTTGAACTTTGTATGCAACTACTCTGCAATGCCATCTCAAGTCAAGTTGCACGTTATTTGGCATATCATCTATTTTGTTTACTGCATAGAGAAGCACTGTGAGATGCACATACACACTGTCTAGCCAACAGGGTACAGTGTGCCTATGGCCAGATTCTGGTCAACATCTGACAGAGAAGGATCATGGAGGAAAAGTGTCCCCAACTACCACAATTGACTTTCGTTTGTTTACTCTCGTTATAAAGCAATGTACGAGCCCATATGTACGAGCCCATACAGTTGAGAACTACATGAGGAAACCAGACACTATAAGTGTTCACACAGTCCAACTCGCTTTACATACCTACGACAGAGATGTCAATGGACTGCGGGCTGGGTGTCTGGCGCAAATATGGGCCCTGGTAGTAATGGGCGCGACAGAGATACTTGCCCGCGTCACTGTGGGCCAGAAGACCGGCGGAGCTGAATCCAAACGGCAGCGAGGTAACTCTGGCAGTACTTTGGACTCTTTTGATGACCTTGCTATCTTTGTACCACTCCAAAGATTCGGCATTGCTTTCTGTGAGAACGCACGTCTTGTCGAAATGGATCGAGGCCAGAGGGATACCGGCCACAAATGTGAGGTGGACGCCGCCTCCAGAGATGTGCACCTTTGGCCAAGGGATTTCTAAACCGGAGCAGATGAAAAGAAGGGACGCAGGTCAACACGGGGCAACAAGTACACATTGGATAATCTTGCAAACCAATGTGAATTAGTGCACATACCACTGTGCAGCCATTATTCTAACGAGGCGCATTAATGTACAAGCAGAAATATTCGTCTGGAATTTAATTTCGTCTTTTTCGTCCAAGGAGCTTTTGGACTAAATTAAATGCCGGACGAATGTCGATTTGTCCAGCTTTCCAATACACTCTTATGATCCATGGACGAAATTTACAACTGGACGAACTCCCTTTCTTTGAAGTTGGACAAAATTATTGACCGACGAAATTTCCTGCCTATACAGTATAACCATTTCCTAAAACTGACTGGTTTACGTGCATAAAAATGTAACGATTCTTACTCAATAGGACAGTATATGTATCGATTTCTGTAAAACGATTTCTCCTCGTTAACTCGTTAGAATTAAAACTTATGTGTAGCACTCAGTAGTCCACCAGCTCTCTATAATTGGGCGCTTTCGATTCCACGCATTACAGTCAATTCTAGAATTAGTTTTTTATTGTTGATGCACAGTTCGATTACACGAAAAGTTACAAATTCCGTCATTAGAATTGATTTTATCCGATTCCGTCAATTCTGAAGAGAGGGCGGAATTTCTCTAAGTCTGGCGCCAGAATTGCACAGTTACCGGTCTGGTCTTGCATGATTCAAGTCAAGGAAGAGCCTCCCTGGCCGGTGTGACGCGAAAGCAGGGCTACAACTCCATGTAGTTGCTACTTTTGTCTTCCCGAAAAGCTAATTGCCGCTGTTGAGTTTACGCTGGGAGCTGATTATTAGACCAAATCATTTTGGGTGGTCCTTTCGCCCACGAGTTCAGCTTTATCGAAGCCCAATAGTGCTGCCGATATGGAGCCTTCGATCGAAAGCGCCCATTATGTGTTCACTCCTCCATATGTCACCACCTGTTTACTTCGTGCCTATATGGCTGCATTGCGACTTTCTCTATAGAACTCCTGCTCACTCTCTATATAACTTTCTCTATAATATATCTTCACTCAGGTTGAGACTTTCTCTGTGTGAAACTCAGATAGCGAACTTCTCCATACAAAACCCGGGTCACACAGGGGAATTCTTGGCTTTGGTGATAGACACCATCTCCAGCACTACATCAACAAGACAAAGCAATATCATGGGCAGATTCCGGAGCAAAGTATGCTAGCAGCCATAATGCCGTCATTGATTCCTACTACACAGCACTCTATGCTTTGAAATACATGTGGCGTGCAACGAGCTGTCTACACGGTATAAGAGGGTGATCATAGCTTCCAGATCGCCCTCTGTTTCCTCATCACTGCTCCTGTTTTCTTCCCGTTGGTCCACACTTATAGAATATCATGGCTTCTACTCTACCTGCTGTGTCAGAATTTATGAATTGGGATGTGGGCGTCGAAGTTAGCCTGCGAGGATGGAGAGGTACACCTTCCTAAAATCATGATCTAGGGTTTGGACCTCGACGATTATGGTGATGTGCAAGATGATTGCCTCGTGGTTCAACTAATGGATGGCCGGTGGAGGATGTATATCTGAGCGGGGAAAGCCAAGCGGCACCTGTCAGAGACTTGGCGAGGTGCAATGAGGGCGATGTCAACCCCAAATGTTCGGCACCGAAGTTACCGAAAGTGAAACATCAAAAAATTCTGCTTTTACAGTAGGAGGAGGCGAGGGGGGGGGGGGGGCGGAGGAAATGACCAGGTTGGGTGAACAGAACATTTAGGGTTACAGAGGGTCGTTTCCTAATTTGATGAGATGTGTCAGTAGTTATACTGAGTTATATGAGTATCGAACGGACGAACAGTACGGAAACATGAAAGTGCACCAAAACCCCATCAAACTACAATGCGTACGTACCTTCACCATGGGCAGGAGCTGAGGCAAACACTAGCAGTGCAGCAAGGACTGGTGCGAACAATCCTGTTGGCATCCCCATTCTGAATTTCTAGAAGGTTTCTAGATGCAGACCACAGTTCACAAAAAATCAAAGAAACTCGGTATGAATTTAAATCCCAAAAGCCACCTAGAGTGGCTAGATTTGTGAGAAAACTGCACAATTGGGGTGTCATCGATTGGCGAATCTGGGGCACTATCGATTGGGCAAATCCCGAGCAGGTGGGCTCTGAGTGAGCATGATCGTTTGGCCGGATCCGGCTGAATCTGGAGTCGATGTACTTGGAGTGCACTTGCTCGGGATTCGCCCAATCGACCATGCCGTAAGTACACGTACATGGCAAACACGCTAAACAAATTCCAAAGATAAAAGAGTGTTCTGCTGCGGATGGATCCGCGCACGACCGCAGACGGGCCTACCCTCATTAGTAGACCAATGTATGGGGGACAACTTGCCAGTTCTGATTTCTTACTTTTACGATGAGGTGCAGCACCAGTAATGGGGTATCCACACGACACGCACTTGCACGTTTTACAGGGAGTGACTGTGTGGATTCACGCAGCTGCACTCGACTACAGGCACGTTTGCATTTTTGAATGCTTCACCGACCAGTAGCCATGGGTATTTCAAATTGTCAAAACACGCATACAATAGTTATCATGCTCTGAAGAGCCACGTTAGTAAATCAAGTTTTGTTTCGGGCTTTTTGGTGTAAATGTACTCGTGCACGCCTGGGTTATCCTGTAAGTGGGCAGCTAGCTCGGTTGCACTTTTCAGTCACTTTTCTCGTTCACAGGTAAAATACCATAAAAACTTTCTGGTGCACGTGGATTTGCCTGTCGTGTGAATACCCCGTAACGGTCTTTCAGAACCGCTCACAGACCGGTTTTTATTGCAGTGTTTTTCTTTTCTTTTTTTTTTTAAATATTTTACTGCCAGAAGTCGTCTTCATATAAGCAGGCAGATATGCCTGTTTGTTGTGCGACTTTAACCCATTGAACGCTGATGACGTCTATAGACGTCATTGAAAATGCCCCACATGCCAGATAACGTCTATAGACGTCATGGGATATATAGTGATTTCTGGCACTGTCTGGTGTGTAAAAGCACTGTTAGTCAGTTGGATCATGATCCTGTCAGTTTGCTGCTCGAATCGCGCCTGGAATACAGTTCACTGCCCGTGCCACCAGAGGTCAGGATGCCTGCAATCTGCCCCTTCCCAACATCCGCAGTACTTCGGGATCTCACAGACCAGTTTTTGCTGCTGCTAAGTTGTGGAATCTTTTGCCCTCGTCCTTAAAGTCATGCCCTACCACGTGCCGATTCAAGCGTTCATTGAAAGTTTGCTTTCATGGCTTATGCCAGGTAGTTCCCTATCCCGAGAGTTCTCCATACTCACTGTTTTCTTTACTCCACCTATCCAGGTTATCTTAGATTTTATCCGTTTGGGGATGATTGTCTTTGGATTTGCAATGCATTCATAAAACAAACACAGAATAGATGTACTTCGGAATCTCACTGCCTAGCATTCCCCTCTAGTTGGCCTGACCTAGCACATCTCAACTCTCACGTCCATTGAAAGTCTACTTTCATGACCAATGTTGATGATCCAAGGAGAGATTCCTAGACTCACCGTTTTCTTTACTCCCCATAATCCAGGATAACTAATGGTGTTCTTAATCTTTTCTCCCTTTCCATCGTCATCATAACATTGGGCATGATTGCCCGTTTGACTTGCGATGTAAAATAAAAGCAATACATACATAAACTCGGGTATTGAGCCAAGAATAAAAGTAGAAAGGAAAAGGACGTATGGAAACGAGTTATGAGTAACTATCCACCACTGTAACTAGATACTATATACAGTCAGTCAGTGCCTTCCCCTCTTTGGTCTTTCCATAACCTTGAACCTTCCAAGTTGGAAGGCTGTCGGTTAGCACGACGGAGATGTGTTGAAGCTAGGTGTCAGGACGTCGAATGTCTCAGTACTAGACATCCTTAGCAAAAGTACGATAACGCTAACTTTTACGGTACTCACTCCCAGCCGTGACAAAAGACGTTATCGGATAACGGAAAAACGTTATAGAGCTCAAAATAACGGGCCGACGTTCGTTATGGAAATTCTGCAAAAAATGCAAAAACTCGCATTGTTTTGTAACTGGCGGGAGATAAAAAGCACGTCGTGCAGATCGAGATGAGATCGAGAGTCGAGATTGCTTCCTCTTGTGACATTTAGCTTTTTTGGCGAGTTTTGCCTTTCAGTTGACAATTTCTGCGTTTTCTGCTTCGTGCCTTTCTCCCTCTATCCCATCTGGGAAACAAAGGACCAGTTCCACGGCACTCCTGAGGAAGAAATTCATCGGCCTCTCCCAGACGTGCTGGAGCTGGAGAACCCTTACAGTCTTCGGTGCTGCGTTTAGGAAAGGGTTTCCAACGACCTGGGAACAGCGAAAACTCATTTTCGCCGTGCTTTTGCTATTCCAGAGTAAAAGACCTCGCCAAGGTATTCTTTCGGAACGACAGCAAACCAATCCCTGGTTCAAAATTTTGAATTTCCCGTATCTGTTTCCACGAAAATTCATATCGCCATGGTTGTCACGACTACTTCGTCTCAACTATAACGTACTTTGTGCTAAGGAAAAAGTCAGCTTGAACGATCCGAAGTACGGAAAGGTTTGCGTTTACGTTAGCGTTTTTTTTTAGCTAAGGATATCTACTCTGTCAGTTTTGTGCCTAGTTGTTGCACTTTCTGACTGTATATAGTATCTAGCTACAGTGGTGGATAGTTACTCATAACTCGTTTCCATATGTCCTTTTCCTTTCTACTTTTAATACATACATACAATACATATGTACGGTGATCACCTCTCAGTCTTATGCCAATCTAATGGACGATTCAGACTACGGCCAACTGTGACCACGGTTCTACGACTCAGATGGATTTGATCAAGGATTGTGCATAACATTTTGATTCACGACTGCATCACCATGGAAATTCAAGTGTACACGTGATTTTGGTCGTAGTCTGAATCGCCTATAACCCACCAGGTGGAAACAGTTCCGAGCCAATCGTCGAACTTCAGGCTGGTATTTGGGATCACAAAACGGGAAACACGTCAGAGGCCATCTTGAATCACGCTACGTCATCAGATACCCGCACGTGATGCGGGGCCGCGAGATCGCGACTGCGCAAAAGTTTACTTCCTAGTGCAGTCTTTGACCTAGCTGCAAGAGCAAGTGCTAGTTTTTATCATAGTTTTATTTTTTGGTGGTGCTTGAACTGGTTCGAACTGCTTCCCTTCTACTTTCTTTGACAGAGCGAGTGCTGTTAGGGTTTCCTGTTGTCAGTTTGTATCCACCACCGGTCTTGTATGTCAGTGCTTGTACAAGGAGGTGTTCAGTAGTTATTTTCAGTCCGCACCATGGATCGCATCCAGGGTAGGAAATCGCACTCTGACCGGCTTGACTATCCCTATTCGAGAAAGAAGCGAACTAGTGGCCAGTTCGGCTCAGTATCATGGCCAGCTGGACGTAGATCAGATCGCCCCGAGGTCGAACAAACCGACAGTAGTCCTGAAATCTTTACCTCGCAGAACATTGACGATGTGGAGCGCGGTGTTCAAGAACAAGGAACCATGGTAATAATTGGATTCGCTCCAGAAAAATTATTCTCGTGGTTCCCGGTTCCTTTCCCAATATTTCCTATGGTCTGCCGGGATACGTGCATCACGCTGAAGCCTAGATGAATAAGATTGTAAGTCAGTCTTCTCTCTAGCTCAAGATTTTGCGAACATGTTAGCAGTGAACAATAAAAGCAAAGGACACAGTGCAACAAATGGAAAATGCACGTTTCCTTCTTTTCCTTGCCGTGCGCACTGCACTGTCACAGTCAGCAGTTCTGACTGGAAGGTGTCTTCCGTTTGTGAAAGAACCAGCGCAAGTTGCGCGTGGCGCGGCGTCCTTCAAAACGACACAAGTGAGCTCCACATGAGCCGATTTTGACATTTGATGGCTCAAAATTTTCAGTAGGAGATGCTCCATACTTTCACCGAAGCGAATTTCGCCAAAACGATCCTAGAGGTGAGACACGTTTACCGAGTTTGAGGGTGTTATTTGACGTCTAAATTGCGAAAATCAAAAAATCCTTCGGTGAATCCCTTTGCCCACATATGAACTCGGTGCCTGCAAAATCTCAACCTGCTAGAGAGAACTGTGGCTCACTTGCGTGGATTTGAACAGGCCAGAGTCGACGCGAAGTACGGCAAGATTCTCTGTACACAGCATGGTGTGACACATGTCACGTGAACCAAGATGGCGCCCACGTGTTTCTGTGCAAGTACTAGCCCTGAATTTAATTACTTGTCTCGTAATACAAAAGTTAGCACAGCTCGTGTCATCTGTCAACCTAAAACTGTACAATGCCTATAGTATCCGAATAGTACGAAGTGAATGCACAACTTACAATAAAGATGAGTTGCTGTGAGCGTCTGATCGCCGAATCCACTGGTATTCTGTGGCAGCGTGCCAGCCGATAAACAACACGAGTCCAGGAGAAATCCAAAGACTATCGTAACTCTCGCAGCGTTTGCTTTTCTCTGACAATTGGAGACTCTTGTTCTAACACAACTAAGGCACTAAAACCTACTGCTTTCTCTTTTTGTTTGTAAAAGTGACTGCTGATCCGGGTGCGGCGATGTCCTTTTTCAAGGCTGAAGAGAAAGCGCCAAAGTACCATAGTGGCGCTACTACAGCGACGCAGTGTAGGACTGCAATGCAACTGCATGCGACAGTTGTTGGAGATCCAACAGTTGCAGCAGGTGCACTCGCAAACTGTGTAACGACGACATATTTTTACTACATCCTGATCCGTGCACATGATGGGTTTGCATACAATATGCGCGTATACTCTCGATACAACGAAATAATTTTAAAGAAAAAGAAAACATGCGCGTATGCTAGATGCTGGGCTTGCAAGAAAACTTTGCACGTGTACGTGTACTACTACTGTACGATGGAAATATTTGGATTGCGCCGGCGGGTGTTTGCAACCGCGCGCGCAAGAGGCAAGATCACCAGGTCACTGGGTTCATGAACTTGGTTCATTTACACGGTACGCGGAACAAAACGTAAAAGTTGTACACCAAAACGGAAGAAAACCAAAACGCTGGCCAAGGAGGACGAATTTTAAAACGGAAGTGTTCTGCCGGATAAATTTGGGCGTGGAAACAGTCGAGGGCATCGTTCGTCCCCTTGGTGTTTTGTGCCTCCGGTGGTCAAGGCAAGGCTGCCTCTGCTTTCCTCAAGCGCATTGCATCAATGCTGGCTGAGAAGCGGAAGGAACCGTTCTCCATGGTGATGGCTCACCTTCGTTGCCGCCTAGGGTTTGCCCTCATCAGATCGGCGATTGCAAGCTTAAGAGGTCATCGATCCAGGCGAGCACCTTTGGATCAGCAGCTGGAGTGCCCCTCAGCTCTAGTGAATGCTGAGTGTCGTCTGGGTTAACCCTCACCTCTTGTTATATGGCTGTATTGTTTTCGCTATTAGTTAGTTTTCTTTGTTATGATTTCTTTTTTTTCTTTTTCTTTTTTACCAGGCGTGGGCCATCCCCTGAATTCATAGGTGCCAAACATTCTTTTTTCTTTAGTTTTCTTTGTTATTATGATTTCTTTTTTTCTTTTTCTTTTTACCAGGCGTGGGCCATCCCCTGAATTCATAGGTGCCAGACATTCTTTTTCTTTCTTTTTCTTTTTACCAGGCGTGGGCCATCCCCTGAATTCATAGGTGCCAACTCGTAACGACAGTAGATCTACGTAGAAAAAAAAAAAAAAAAAAAAAAAGGAAACAGTCGAAACCAGGGAGTCGTAAAATACCGTAAAATACCGAGGTATATTATGCTCCGCAGGCCGCGAAAGAGAGCCCGTTACCTAGACCCCTACTCGCGCGGGTAGAGCGAAACTGAGCACCCTGGGATGCGAGCAGCTTTTTAGTACTCCCGGGTCCAAAATCTCACCACCGGGCCGGGATGATCAAAACGTCTGCCGGGTCTGCAGCCTACAAACGTGGATCTGCCGACACTGTGCTGTCGACGACATGTCCGGCAAGGCACCTCCTTGCGTGAAAGCAAGGAACGCTTTTTTTTTAGAAAGGAAGCTTCTTCTCCAAAATTTTAAATTTTTGAAAATTATTCCTTCTGAAAATATCATCGCGTTCTTGACCTCGAAGCTGACTGCTGAATGCGATTAGGAAAGAAGATTCCTGAAGATACACCAGACTGATTCTGGCAAGCCGTCTGTCGTCTAGATATGCAGTTGTTCGTCATGCATGGTCAGCAATCTTCCTCGTTCGTCCTTTCGTTTTCCTGACCACGATGATGACAAGCAGCTCTCATGCTCAGGTTAGTGCTGTACTTGTATGTCTGGGCACACAACACATCTGAGATTCACCCACTGACGTTATCGAACTGAAGAATGCAGCAAGGGTTCCTCGGATTCTCTTGATTTCGGAACAATTTCCTTCACTTTCACCCTCTCAGTCTCTTCCCCATGCCCTCCATGCATGCACAATCGAGTTTGCATTTCAAATGTTGTTTTTACTTTGGCAGTGCGTTCGATAACGTTAGGACAGTCTAAGTTAGGTGTTCTTCTCTTCAGGCTTATTGGACGTGTACAAATTCTAAAAAATAGCTTCCATATGCTAAACGCAGATCCCTGTGAATACGGTTCTGCTGGGCAATGATGTTTACACCAATCTACACTCTATGCTGTCACAGCATCCACAACTGATCCTCTCTCTCTGAATTAACTATTTGATAAAGCCAATCTTTAAATCGCTGTTGCATAGGATCTCGGGTGGGAAGAAGCGATGAATCGATACATGGCATTGTGAAGAAAAGAAGAACAAATTCACATTGCACGTGAGACTCGGTTAGAAAGACTGAGTTTCTGCATTCATAAGAATGTCACACCCCGGGGATCATGATAAAGAAAACATATGTCGTGAAAATGACTGAAAGAACCAAAGAAGTATTTGATCTTCCAGCCAGCTTAGCCTGGTACTACCATACTAGCAGTGCTACCAAGTACCAGCCCTCCATATTTTCTGTATTTGTACGGAAAATCACTCCTTGTGCGCACTACAGAGATTGAGCAAATGGTATAGAAAATCGGAGAGGATCAATCAGCTGTGTAGAAGCATTGCAAGTGTAAGCTGAGTGATGAATAGTCTTGTACCAAAGCGAGTGCATGCCGTACCACAACAACATGTACATGTAGCACAAAAATAATAATGTCGTGAGTGCAAGTCACACATGTTTTACACTACCAAATACAGCCACCGACATGCATGTGCGTGTCAAAAAACATTACAGTGCAAGTATGCATGCAATGTACACGGCAGTACGCAAAACACTGCAAGATACGGAAAATCAGAAGTCTGAGTACGCAAAACAGACTCAATTGGTGGGCAGCTCTGTACTGGCCTGTACGGAGGGAGTGAATCTCAATGTGTGCAATGCACGCACTTTGGCCGACAGTGAAAACTATGCAAGTCGTGTTGGTTTGCAGGATGAATGTGAGTCCTTTTAGACAAGCGCCTTAGTGGAGTAGCCCGTCGAAAGAAGAGTACTTGACACCGCGAAGTGGAGTCTGCGCATACAACAGTGAGGGGGTAAAATTAGCTATGACTGATTCTGCATGTGTTCTGCATGTGTGTCACATTACACTAGCAGATAGGCACACCTGTTGTTCCAAAAAGATGCTTATGTCAGTGTCTGAATATGTCGTGTACCAGGTAATATTGTTGCCAGGATCTCACGGTGAGAGTCAGACTTGAATATGGTATCAATAGATTATCAATATCATACATCACCATGTACCACCCAAAGTATAATAGCCGAAGGACCCGTTTGTGTGGTGGTGTATGATTTCGTGAGCAAGATGAAGTGGCTACAGATGTGTCTTATATAACACCCTAAGAAAAGATCATCAATTCTGGGGAAAGTGATTCTGGTAGCATGTTGTATCCAGTGTGGCATGACAAAGACTCCCTCGATTTAGCCTGTGGAGAATCCGTAAATACATAAATACAATACATACAGGCATCGCAACCTTCGGATTATATGCTCTTTTGCTTGCCTCCTGGAGTGTAGTTGTACCTTGGTTCACTGTATTAGAATAATAGTAGACTTTGTTTTTCGAATTCGTTTCTATAACATTAGGTTTCTTTCTGTTGCTGCTATGTCTTTTCATGTGTTTTACAGGATTGCCATCTGTTGATGAATACCACTCTGAGGCACTCTCACGAGCGAAGGTGTTTGAGAATCCATGTCGGAATGATGGTCATGTTGGCCTAAAGGTGCATTACATTGCCGATACTCGCCACCTCCACCCTGGAACATGTTCAATTTCTGTTTCTCGTATGGAAGGACCGAACAGGTTGTTTTCCTGTCTCAGTGGACCACTCAAGACTGAACAGCACTGATGGAAGAAGATTTGCCGTGAATCTCGTTCACATAATCAGCCTGTTTAATTGCTGTACTGAGGTGACTGCTTCATAACAATGACCATGCAGCATTAATTTTGGATAGTATTGCAGTGCCCCTAAAATTGGAGAATATCGAATTTCTCTGATAGCATTGTGATTCATTTGTGAATAAACATCACTACTCTTTTTGAGTAGCATAGCAATGACAGAGTTGGTTTAATGTATGACAAAATGGAGCCGCTTTTTGACTTAAACCTGTACTATAATCAGTACCGCCGGAAGCAGTTTTTGATTGGTCCGGTAGTTTCATGGCGGGTACACACGTCCTCCACGGTAGGAAACGTTTGTTGGTGGCCAACAAGTTGGTCTGGTGATAACCTGACCAACCAGACCGGCGGGCCTGATAATTGTGGGGCTCATGAGCAGCTCAAGTACTTAGTATGGTTTTGGACATGTCCCCAGTTAACCAATGAGAATAACCGGAAAACAAGGGGGGCTTTAGATACCGGGCTGACTTAACAAGAGGCAGGATAAGCGCGTTACGGGTTGAGCTTGTCGAAAACCAATTGTACTTCATTATGTGTGAAGGGGTTTTATGAAGAAATATTTTATGAACCAGTGTGCAGAGATGGTGCTTATGACGAAAGGAGAGAGGAGAAGTGTGTGAAAGTCGATAAAGGGCATCCGAAGGAACACATCGATCCTTGTTGTAAAGAATATTAAGTATAAATCTATGGTTGAAACCTACTTCCCCAAGCGTTCTCTGTTAAGTATAAATCTATGGTTGAACCCGACTTCCCCAAGCGTTCTCTGAGGGGACCGAGGTCTACTCTATCAGTTCATGTATTCTGTGAAGTGACATGACCATTCGTGGGGACCTTGCTCATAACTGCAAAAGTCCTCGTCTGATTTTTCCGCATCAATTGAACGTTATACATGTGCATGTAGTGAAAGCCACATGCAAAAGGCTGTTCCATGGCACTCATCTGCCACCAAGCTCTGGGTTCATTGGCTGAAAATATTCTTCGGCACAGTAAAGTCGTGCGCCCAAGAACGTGGAAGCCTACAGAACATCCAACCTGGAATACTAAGAACACCACAGCCCAAAATTAAGAATTGCGGTGTAGGTTTGTGCTGTTGTCAAACACCGGGATTGTTATGTTGCACATGTATCTGAGCTTTACCACTACATACACGTCTGTCTTTACACAATTACCAATCTGCAGACAGCATGCTGTTTCGTCCTTTAGTTACTAATGGACTCATCAATGCAGCACAGAGAAAATGAG